TCATTTATTCTCACATATTTTTCTCTTACAAATTGGCTCTATTTATAGCCAAACTTACTAGATATTCTACAAGATATTTAGAGATATTTTCTACCTCTTGACTATCCTTTTGCAAGTAGTAGCTTTCAACTTTACTACTAGAACTTACTTTACTTGTAAAATGGTTTACTACTTTGTATTGTGCTAGTTATAATCTAGTCTAACTTAATATCAACTTAGTTAGACATTTCAACTAAATTAGCTACAAACTAGATTACAATAAAAATACAATTCTTCATGTGACAAACTCCAACAGTTTCTTATCTAACAAAATTGTCCTTAATTTTATACTCTTCCAGGATGCAGGAGTAACTCTTTTGGGGACTGTCCCTAGCCTAGTAAAGACCTGGAAGAGCACAAATTGTATGGAAGGTCTAGATTGGACAAAAATAAAGTAAAATCTGATTTGAACTTTCAATACTTATGGTTTCTTTGGTTTTACTACTAGGAATTAACACCAAGCCTCCACAGGTCATTCGGTTCTACTGGAGAAGCCTCCAACGTTGATGATGATCTTTGGCTTTCTTCAAAGGCTTACTATAAGCCAATTGTTGAATGTTGCGGAGGCACAGAGCTTGCATCATCCTACATTCAAGGAAACCTTCTGCAGCCACAAGCGTTTGGAACATTTAGCTCTGCCTCAATGTCCACAGGTTTTGTCATCCTCAATGAAAGTGGGTTACCTTATGTAAGAAATTCTCGGGCATCTTTCCTGTCTTTAATTTAGCTTCCATGTAATTTCGATGGTCAAATTACATTCACAGTAACTATAGTTTAGTGTCAATCAAGTAATCGTACTTCAATTTTGTTCATTCAGGTAATTACACTTTAATTTGATTTCAATCAGGTAACTCCATCCAATTTTGTCACCTAGACTAACGAAAATCAATGAATTGGTAGTCAATAAGTGAAACTCGTCATTTATTTCATTAAAGTTGTACATATTTCAGTACATCAACTGATCATTACGTGTGATGACCATCATTTATTGACCGTTTCATTATCGATCTGTCAATGGCATTGGACAAAGTTGTTTTAATTGAAATTAAAGTAAAGTACAATACATTACAGTACCGAATTGAAATCAAACGAAAGAATAGTTACCTGGTTGAAATCATATTAATAAAATTGAAGTACAATTACTTACCTTATTGATATTAAAGTATAGTTACCAAGAATGGAATTAATCATAATTTTAATGTTTGATATTTAATTTTTCAAATGAACTATCTGAAACTTACATAGTGCTGTCATTACATCAAATCAAAAACTTACCAATAGTTTATGTTCCTTAGAATGAAGTACAGATGTGTGCTAGCTGGTTGTGAACCCAGTGATTAAATAGGCTTGGGCAGAATACTGTGCAAAATAGTCGGACATTATAGAATTGTGCTTTCTTTCTTATTTTTTAAGCTGCATTACAGCCAGATGATCAGGCTTGTGTTGGCGAAGTGGGATTATTTCCTCTTTACATGGGAGCAACTGATAGACTGCTAAATGCTGATCACGATGAGGTGTACTTCAAGGGAATGCCAATGTACAAAGGAATGGTGCGCGGTTTGGCAAACCTATTAGAACCTTGCTTTAGTTCATCTACTAAAAATACCAAGGAACGATGTTCATTTAACTAATCACTCAATTCTTCTTTCAGCAACTTAGGAGACATGGTGACATTATAAAAAGAACTGTCGGAGGATTTCTGGTGGTGCAGGGAAGATCTGATGACACCATGAATCTGGGCGGCATTAAGGTATACTATTCTCCTATTTTCCTTTCCTCGTCTTCCTTCTCTTCACTTGCATAGCTCCGTAGGCAAATGTATGGTCGATCGTTTAGCGATAAACTCTTCCCATTCAATTTGATGCAGACAAGTTCAATAGAGATTGAACGGGTTTGTGACGGGGCTGATGAAAGTGTCCTGGAAACTGCTGCAGTCAGTGTTGCACCCCCGAGTGGTGGTCCAGAACAGTTGGCTATATTTGTGGTACTGAAGCCAAGATTCAAGATCGAGTCAGAAATGCTAAAGATGAAATTGTCAAAAGCCATCCAGACCACGCTTAACCCTTTGTTCAAGGTTTGTATCCTCGGTTCCACGATATTTGTTCTCAGCACTGAATTGAATGCCTGCATGCTTTATATTTTTTTCTTTATTCGTTAATCAATCAGGTGAGCTTTGTTAAGATCGTCCCAGAGTTTCCTCGAACAGCATCAAATAAGCTACTGCGGAGAGTATTAAGGGATCAATTGAAGCACGGGCTTCAGATACAGAGTAAAATCTAGTTGAATCATTAGTTTTTGATATAGCTGCTACTGGGAATGAAACTTGGATTGTTAGCGTGTGAAATTTTAAATAAATTATTGTAGAACCCTTTGGTGATATTGTATAAATGGCAAGAAATGTTATATACTCGAAGAGTATCTTTTGAACCTAAAGAAGACAATATCATTGATTGCAAGAAGTTGCAATTCTCTTTACGCTCATTGATATCACGCTTGCTCTTGCAATTTTGGCATTTGCAATAATATATAGATGCAGTACCTGCTTTATATTTTATAACAGACCCCGTACAGTATCATGCTCGAGGAAGGACATCCCAGGGACTTGGCTGATGAAATTCGAGCTTAGATTTGTCTATCCTAAGTCAGTCTGTCGTTCAACAACATTCATAGTAGAAACAAACCCGTGTGAACTTGCACAAGGATATAGAGCAAGATTCATGCCTTGCTATATAACAAGTCTAATACAAGCCCGATGCCAATAATAAGTGCATACCCGAACTCTCAATCAAAAATATTTTGTTACAAACATATCCCCTCCCCTCAACATAGTTGAATATTAAGGTCAGCCTTCAATCATGAAAATATAATTGTGGTACAATACATATGAATGTTAAGTAATAAATTTTCCCTCTCTTACTCGTAAGAGACTTTAGTTTAATGAAATATTTAATAACCGCCCCATACAGAAATCCATTAAAAAGGAAAAATTCATATAACGAACCCGTGTAGTGGTTAACAAATAAAAAATGATTGATGAATGTTTAAGTCTCCATGAAAGTAGTTGACTTCTATTTACCAATGAAGAGAAAAGGAAGCATAGAAACATCAACGTGTATCAATCAGCCCTTTATCAACTAAGAGCAGACCATGCTGTCTCATATGGAATTGTTGTTCAGACAGTATCTTACAAAACTTACAAGTGGCTAACAGGTGCCTCTTCTTGCACTTTCCTAGACTGAAGTTATACAGGGACTCTTTTTCCTCGATAACGGTCAAAGAACTGCACAAAAGAATAAGAATTATAAACACGAGATGTCATGTGACGAACACAAACATATAAGAAGGTGGTTCATTGTCAAAAAAGTGAAAAACAAAAACCGGGCTACAGAAGTACACTGGCTGTCTTTCCTAATGCAGAAAATAAAGAACAGAATTCCAAATCTGTGAACTCCCATTTTAGAAGAATAGCACCAAGGACTTCAATCTCCAGACAATAATACAATCAGAGATGAAGTTCCCATTCAAATGCAGAACTTGCATATTGCCATGTGTATAAATAAAGCATCCAAACTATAACAGTAACATAAGCATCATCCAGACTCCAGAAAGTAAATCTACAAATCTGTCAACACCATGGAAAAGTTCCAGCCAAAGAATCAAACCACTCTAACTCAGGTCAACTGTCCATGTCTAACGAAAAGAGATTGATACTCCAAACGTACTTGTGTCTATACCCCTACAACGAAGTTCACATCCAGTATACAAGTACACTTTTCAGACACTTCTCAACTTTGTTGAAATATCATTCAGACACTTAACATGTTACCTTACTTGAACTTTAAGAAAACTTGGCTCAAATAACGACATTTTTTGTGCACGAATTTGTACGAGTGCTATGCTAGACTTGAAAATGTAACTACAACATATAATCTGTAATACCTCAGAGAAACTATGGAAAATATCCAGCTGATAACAACAGTATGGATCCTCATATTACCACTCTGTTATATTCCATTGTGCTTTAACAATGATAGCAGCCGAACAGCCCAAATTAAGACATGATTGCAGGTATGAACAAGGTAACTAACAAATTTTAGCATCATTTGATGTCTTTGAACTTACCCCATCCTCAATTACAATGCAGGTAGACTAAAGTGTTTCTAGCAAGATATACTAAGGAATATTTAAAGAAGAGACTGCAGCCCATCGCTCTGTGATGCACAGGTATATATCATGCATTAACTTCTACAGAAAAATTATACTAGAACATAAAAGGTAGTGTGGCGCACCACAAAAACACCTTCAACGAAGCAATAAGCCAATAAGAAGTTTAAATAAAGCTTCCTTTAAATACTTTGATATGAATATAGGTAAACAAATCAAACTCTAGCATCACACTATTCACGATGCAACATCCAACATCTATCTAAACTCAAGTTGAGTAGAAATTCTAAAATAATTGCTTCTCAGGATCCAAACAGATAATCGGAAAATGTCAAAGCAAATACCGATCTGATAAAAGGCTGCTGCAACAGACGACCAAGAATAGGTATCCTCTGCAGAAAAACAGCAAGTGTTGGCCAAAAGCCACTGCACAAATATAATTATAAATCATGATCATCAGGACCAGGAAGAGAGAGAGTAAAACAAAGTGAAAACTAATACATTATTATATGTCTAATCAGGGAAACAGTGTTTGCTGAACCTGAAGAGTACGACAAATCCATATGCCTCTAGCATCATTCCAATTATAGGCCATCCGATGATGACAAAGAAGAAGCCAACACCAAATGAAACAGTTCCCTACAATAAACATTACAATTCCCAATGGACTCAGAATAACATAAATGGTAAAATAACACAGTGAGTCGCTAAGCAAAACAAACCTTAAAATTGGATCGTTTCATGAAGAATTGCGCCGATGACTTGAGTCCAATGGTTAATGTCACGCCTGAGAAGAAGAGGATCTGTTTCAACACAAATGTCAAACAGCCAACAAGGAATCAACAATAAATTTAGCAATATGAAGGTAAAGGTTCAAAAGAATAACTATGAAACAATGAGCATCTTATAATTGAACTTACATTTCCCATAGCCAGTAGTCCCTTGTCGAAGAAGAAAATGACCCCCAAGAATGAAAAAAACACTCCAAACCCCGTCAGTCCCAGACCAATTTCTGTCTCGTTATATCAAGGCAAAGAAAAAACACATCAAGCATTGCAATGATGGCAGGCTTCAAGCTAACACTTCAGTTTCACTCAGCGATGAGAAATTAAAACATAAAAAATCAATCAGTAGATTTATACATATAATCGACAAACAAGCTGGAATACAAAGCCACAATAGCTAAGATACAATTATTCATATATCATTGAAAAATACATTTGGACATAGGTTGGTCGAACCAACGCACTCACACTCACGCAATCAATTCAACGACACATGGAAATAGAACGGAATGAAACGGAATGAACTTACTTTTTCGGTCGTTCATTTCGAAGGACATCATTTTTGCCTGTTCAGATTCGAACACACTTTATTCGAAATTAAACTAAAACTCGAAGGTGAATGAAATTCCTGAACCGCTTGGCCCGAAGAACAATAATCGTCACCTTAAATCATCAAAAAAAAACACAAAATTTGTCAAATACTTTTACATTTGGACCAAATCAAAACAAAATCAGTGAGTTAGGGTTCCATTAGAAAAAAATTACAAGATCTGTTGGACTAACTTGTTGTATAAATCTCAAATAACTTGCCTTAATTCAATTAATCTATATAATCAAATGTAAGCAAGGAAAAAGAACCTGTAATTACGAGCGTAGACTGATAATTCTTCAGTTTCTACTAAGAAGGGAAGAAAGCGTTTTCCATTTGACATGATTCGTTAAAAGACATTCATTTTAATTGGGGAAATTGCAGGGAAGATCCTCAACGTATTAAAATTTATGAATAAAAAATTTTCAACCTTTTTTATAGTCAGGTCCTTTACCTTTTAATTTTGCAACATTTTGGTCTCAAACCGTATTGAAAACCTAATAATATTATAATATACTCTTATTTAGAGGTGTCAAGACGGATGGACCAGCCAGATCCGTGAAAATCGGGACCGCGAGTCGACCCGTGACCCGTGCGGGCAGCTCACTGGCCAAGAAGGTATAACCCACGAGCTTCGAGGGTTGCAGCCCGTAAAAAAAAAAAATTTAATTTAATTTTTTAAAGTAACGGTAATATCATCCTCTTCATCTATAAATTCTTATTCTTACAATTATTTTTACAATACCCTCTCATTAGTTATTATACATTTATAATTCATAGTTCATACTTGTTACTATCTTACTACAATTACAATTAGTCAATTGCAAATATCATCATCATCTTGATTATNGCGATCGCATGTGCCGCAAAGCTATGCGGTCTTAAAGCTTGTGATTTTGCCTGTCTTCCGTTGCTTGCAACACTATGGTCCACTCCTTTTCGGCCCTCGAATCCTTCACCAAACATGTTCCTTGGCTCGTCAACTTCAACATTTCATCCACCGTTACTTGAACCAACAATCACATCGCCTCTTTCACTCGCTTTGCTCGCGATAGCGTCATCGGTCCACCTTCAATAATTAACAGATCTTTCCCGGGGCTCGACTTTGATGTGCTCCATGTCGTGCTGTGTCAAGATGGACTGGCCGACTAGACCCGTGAAAAACTGCCAGGATCGACCCGGGACCGCGGGCTGACCCGTGACCTAAGCGGGCGGTTCACGGGTCAAGGAGATGTGACCTGCGGGCTTCGTGGGTTGTACCTTCACGGGGTATTGGGAAAAAAAATTAAAAAATCTTGAAAAAAAGGGGGAAGAGAGCAGGTAACAGGGTATTGGACAAAAGAAGATCTAGACTTAAAGATATTTTGGAAGCTCTCATATACGTGAAAGATTGTATATTCATAGATCGAATGATACAAGATAAAATTATTGATGATGTTGTTGAAGACTTCAAAAATCTTGTAGTTCTTGAAGATTGATTGAGAAACAAATATATAATTTTTGAACAACTAAATTATAGTTAAGTAGGTGCCAGCCTAGTTGGGATGTACTTATACTATAAATATTTGATAATAGTAATTAGAAATACATTTAGTTGTTATAAGTTTAAGTTAAATTTAACTTTGCAAAGTTATAAATAATTCATGTAATATTAAATTTGAATTCTATGTAATCATTTCTTGGTATAAATATGAATTTATCATTTTGTTCAATTCTTAGTTTACATTTAACAAAAAAGAAAAAAAAAATTGTTATCAATATAAAAAATTCTTGGAACAACCCGCGAACCGCGACCCGTATGGGCTCGACCCGGATGGGTCAGCAGGCGGGCTTGGATTGTAGTCCAAAATTTGTGGGCCGACCTGGAACCGGTCCGAAACCCGTAGCGGGCAGGCTTTTTTTTACGCGAGCCGATACCGGGCTCATATGTTGACTGGCCGACCAGGCCCTGCCCACCCGAATTGACATCTCTACTCTTATTCTTAATTATTGCAGGAAAGTAAATAACAGGAACAAAATAACAAGTAAAAAACAAACGATTTTCTTCCCCTACATCGATTGTACGAAGTGCCTAATGCGATGTGCCAATTCTACACTACCGACCCATATCTTACCAAGAAATGCATTAGATAATTGTGTAGGTCTCGTGTTCCATCGACGATCTTATCCCATTACTTTTCCATTATTTTCTCATTTGTTTTTAATTAAATTTTGGAGGTACCATATGTATATCAAACGTTGGAGAAGTGATAATGTTCAAGTAAAATTATGCCCATGTTTGGTTTCCATTTTTAAAACTCTTCTTTTTTTTTTTTAAATTCATTTTCAATCACATGTTTCATCAACTTTTATCGAAACTATTAGAAATTTTATTTTAATTGAAACCAAACAGTTGTTATATCGTTTTGACCATAAAAATCAAATTGTTCTTGATTTCTCAAAGAAAAAAATATCACAATCATATGCCACCAACGCCATTTATTTCTCACGAGTTACTAGCTGTCGTCACCACTAAAATTACCGACCACCACCCAATCTAGTAGTCGGAGAGAGTTAATGACTCCCCATTGGAAGTTTATTGCACATGTTATTGTTGCTACTTGCAAGTTCGCTTCGACGAATTTTAAATGAAATAGAGCCAAGTTTTAGAGAACTATTTTAAATGGCTTACCCATACTGAGTAATTCTACAATATTGTCCTCTTAAATTCGAAAAAGTTTCAGTTTCAAACAATTGCTATTTGCTACGTCACATCATGGAATTGTTGGTCATTTGGAGGACTATATCTTCTCAAAGACAGCCAAACAACTCTAAAAACATGAATGAAACACTCTCCTCAATTATCTCGATAGAAGGTTAAGTTCTTGTTTGAAATCGATTTTTTTAATCACTTTTTTTCACATATTTATTTTCAATCACACATTCTCATAAGAAAATATTTTTAGCATTTTCCTGCACATTTAAAAAAAAAATATTAGTCACGAAATCACTTTTCAAAAAATTAACTTCACACAAGAGCTAACGCTTGCTTACCTCACCCAATTCAACAAAATGTTGGGTGGGACTATTCATTCGACCAACTCACCATTTCGTCGAGTAACTCAATTAATTCCACAAATGGTTGCCGATTTGATTGTATTAATTCATGAACAAATCCACCAAATGACGATTTGAGTGCAAGCGTTTATCATCCCATGCACATTACAATAGAGACAACGCATTTGGATCAGCGGCCATGCATCGACCGTTATATAATGAGAAACAACATTATCCTTGTCCATCTCTCTCCCACCATCTTTCCACGATTTCTGACTGACGCATCCCTCGGGTCTTCCTACGCCACCCATTTTTTACCAGTTGCAATACATCATGTATCTCTACAGCATCTCCTTAATCCTCCACACACATCTCTTGCCCACTTGACCAGCTATTCTGTCCTTGCTTGATTTTTGTGATCCCGATCTTTCCCTCCCTCTTTGGAGCCTCCAACTCCACGTCCTCTTCCCCTTTATCACCACTAGCGTTCCCCACCTTCCTCATTGCCAAATCATCCTCTTCCTCAACCCCTACCATCATCTCCTCCTTCAAAGAGATCAATTGCACCTAGTGATCATAATCCTCACTTAACCCTATCACATCTTTATACTAGTTTCCACATTTACCTGCCAGGTTTGCCACATACCAGCCTACTCTTATCAAGAACGACTCTAGAGTGCTACCACTCACATTGTCCTCATCATCATGTACATGTCACCCCCTCATACTCTTCCAATCATCATCGCCCATATCTCTTCTCCTAATCGGAACATCACCCGTCCCCCTACTCCTGCCTACTTGAGGCCTAAACTGCTAACTAGGGCAATAGCACGAAGAGAGAAACAAAAGGTAAAACCAGAGAAAATCCCTTAGAAAACTCAGACGTTTTGAAATGAATTATGGAAACAGAAGTGGGTTCTATTTATACCCTCAACCACCACCATTAGTCTCGGATTAAGATCAACAATCCAGCGCAACTTAGCCAAATCAGAGGTAACTTAAGTTGAACTTCAGAAATATGATTTCTACCATTTTATTGGATTCGAGTTTTGGGCTTCACCATACAATTTCATCAGAAAATAGACATTATTCTTGAACCAAAGCTCATTTCATCACAACCCAGTTTGGATTGGATTAGCATCGCAGCCTAACAGATCTTCACTTTGATGCCACTGATATTACAGAAAAGTACACTATACTAACAATTAATATAATTCTCAGATACTTGTATCACCATTAAGAACTAGATTACGTACATGAAAGAAATTAATTAAACAATATCAATGTTTAACATTTTTAAACAAGACTTAAACTTCTTAAGAGGTAGTACCTTAGTTTAGATATCAGAAAAGTCATATACAGTTAGGATTTTTTCTAGAGATACAGGATCTTTTGCAATTATATCTCTAATAAAATTCAATTTCATATCAGTGTGCTTAGTTCTTTCATGAAAATCGAGTTTTTACATAAATGAATAGCACTTTGAATATTAGAATAAAATACAACTGGATTAGAAAGATCATTAATTTCAAACAACAAATCTTTTAACCATGAGGCTTCTTTTATAGCCTTAGTGGAAGCTAGATATTCAACTTTTGCAGTTGATAAAGCTTCAATAGATTATTGGAATTTCTTTCTAACACAAGTTAGACACAAAGTAAACATATATGTACTAGTTGAATTTCTATGCTACTTACACCTACAAAGTCGACATCTACAAATCTTTAAAGTACTATACCTTCATTACATGCATTATAATATAAACCTAGTTGTGAAGGTCCCTTTAAATATTTCAAAAGTCACTTTAAAGCAATCTAGGGTCCAGGGCCAAGATTAGCTATAAACCTACTTAAGGTACTAATAGCATGAGCCTCAAGTCTAGTACACACCATAGTATTCATCATAGATGCTACAACATTAGAGTAAAGAACTTTT